GACTGAGGGGAGACATGATAGCCATGTACAAATATGTTAGAGGAAGTCATAGGGAGGAGGGAGCAAGCTTGTTTTCTGCTGCCCTGGAAACTAGGTTTCAAACTACAAGAAAGGAGATTCCATCTGAACATGAAGAACTTCCTACTGTGAGAGCTGTTCAGCAGTGGAACTCTCTGCCCCGGAGTGTGGTGGAGGCTCCTTCTTTGGAAGCTTTTAAACAGAGGCTGGATGGCCATCTGTCGTGGGTGCTTTGAATGCAATTTTCCTGCATCTTGGCAGGGGGTTGGACTGGATGGCCCATGAGGTCTCTTCCAACTCTGATTCTAACTAGTTAATACTTGGATGGGAGGCTAGCAACAAATATGATGTGCTTTAGGCCTGTATTTCACAGGAAGGATCCAGCAAAACCACCTCTGTGTATTCCTTCCCTATGGCAAGTTGACGGGTGACTTGAAGGTACACAAAACTTTATAGAATTTGGAATAACTCCCAGGATCTAAATACTAGGGATCTAAATACCAGTATGTGTTTGCCAGCCAGATCTGCATAGCTTTTTTCTTCCTCCTTTGGCTACAAAAGCCCAGGAGCTGCCAGTTAAAAACCCCAATTCCTTTGAAAAGTGCAGACCCTTCATTATTAGCCGGAGCATGAGAACCAAGCGCTCTGCCAAAAACAGCCGGCTCGGGAAGACTGAAGTCCTGTCCCATGAAGCCAGTCTCCAGCTAATACAACAGCAAAAATATTCCCTGAACAGCTTTGGATTTGCAAGGTATTTAGCCTTCTCTGCTAAAGAGTGTTGGTGCCTCGTTAAACTACAAATCCCAGGGTCCCATAGCATTTAGCCACGGCAATTCAACTGATATCGAACATCATCAATACTAGAGTGTAGGTAAGCGAGTGAATGAGATAATAATGGAAGGAAGGAGTGAAAAAGTGTATGAAGGACATGGACGAAGGAAAGAACAAGTCTTGTTACCGGGGATATACGAAGGGCATTCAATAAAGATTTCCCCAGACCCACTTCTTCCTGTGGAACGAGAGCAGTGAAACTTGGCACGGTTATTAGACCTTCTCGCCACACTTTTTAAGGGATACACACTTTTCCCATGTTTTGAAGCAACTGTAAACACCTCGCTTGTAGAAGTCAACAGGTTGCTCCAAAAGCCACCATGCGATGTCAGAAATCAGAGTCTCCTCACCTGAGAAATGCTTGCCCTTCGAAAGGAACTTTTTTGGAAAGAGGTGGAAGTCCGATGGTGTGAGGTTGGTGGAATAAGGGGCATACGGTCCAATTTTCAAGCCACAGGAGCATGCTTCTTCCATTTGGGCAACAGTTGGGTTGTGAATGGGTGCCTTGTCTTGCAGAAGGCAGACACCTTTGGTGAGCATGCCACATTGTCTCTTGGTTTGGATGGCCTCCCGCCATTTCAGCAGCAGCGAAGCCTAGTCTGCCCCAATGATGCTGGTCCCTTTTGCTAGGAAATCCATCCATACCTCCGTGCTGGTCCCAAAATCCTGTGAGCATGACCTTGCCTGCCGAGAGTTGGGCACGTGCCTTCTTTGGAGGCGGTGAATCAGGAGGCTTCCATTGCATCGACTGAACTTGAGTCTCAGGATCAGAGTGATGGGTCCAGCTTTCCTCCTGTGTGATCCGTCTGTTGAAAAAGTCCTTTAGTTTCCATGTCACATCATTGTCAAGAGAGCCTGAGAGCATTCAACTCGTTCCTGCTTCTGGAAAGGTGTGAGCAGCCAGGGGACCCAGTGAGCGGAGACCTTATGCAGGTGAAGATGGTCTTGGGTGACCCTACACTCATCTTGACATTTTAGGCTCAGTGGTGAATGGTTACGCTGTGATTTTCCAAAATGGCGATCTCCACTTGCTGGGTGGTGTGTTCATCAATAGCAGCGTGGGATCCACCCTGGAATTGAAGCTGTTTCCACCAAAGTCCGACCACATTGGAATTGACTGTGCTGGTTCTTGACTCCATCATCTGTTGGGGAATCATCCCCATAAACCTCTTTCATCTCATCCAACGTCTCCCTTGGTGTGCGGCCTTTTAAGGAAAGGAACTGGAGGACTGCTCTGTCTTATTTATTTATTTATTATTTACAGTATTTATATACTGCTTTTCTCACAGTTTACACATAGATAATGCCAAAAATTCGATGCAATTGTAAAACCACATATAAATCATATTAAAAACAGTACATTACCAAATATCAAAACAGTTATTAAAACTATCAAACAATCTCATCAGTCAAGTCGCCGTTCCAGTCCTTGTCCCACTAAAAGCTGCATACACCTATTGTCTGAAAGCCTGGTCCCAGAACCATGATTTTAATTATTTTCTAAAGGCCAGGAGCAAGAGAGCAGATCTTACCTCCTTTGGGAGTGTGTTCCATAGGTGGGGGACCACAGCCGAGAAGGCCCTGCTCCTCCTCCCCGCCAGCCGCATATGTGCTGTTGACGGGAGCGAGAGCAAGGCCTCCCCGGATGATCTTAAATCTTCTTCTGGGTCCATTCTCAAGCCTCACACCACTTCAGAACCTGCCACATCAAGACTGTTCTGAGTTCCAAGTTGTAAATTCGCACATAACCTATAGAGACACATGTGCAGTTTCAGCATCCTGTGATAAATAGAAGCGGGTCAAAGGAAATCTTTAATGAACGAACGCCCCCCATGTTGTGAGATAGGCCCTTTCATAGCTGGATGAAGGAAAGAAAGAACAAGAAAAGAGAAAGAAGAAATAATACAATAATAATAATAATAACAACAACAACTATCTTTATACCCCGTCAACCATATTCCCAATGGGACTCGAGGCGGCTTACAAGGGACAAGCCCAAAAATTACAAATAAAACACAAACCATAAGATAAAATATAAAAACACTCCCAGTCGTAAACAACAACAATATGGCTGAGAAAAGAACATAGCTGAGGTTCAGGCTCAAGAAAGGAAGGAAGGGACACCCAAGCAACGCGGGTTGAATATGCTAGTTGGAGTAGAAGGTAAAGAACCTTAACTGACATGATTTAGTTGTGCTAAATCTTGTCTCCGTATTTCTGTCTCTGCATTGCTCTTTTCTCCTATAGCAGACTGTCTGGGCCTGGCACCCTGGCCTTGGCTCTGGCATTCAGCATTTGTTTGCTAGTTTGGCAAAGGTGAAAGGCTTCAGCGGCAGTCCCGTGTTGCTTGGTCCCGCGCCCACCCTCTCGGCTCTATTTATAACCCACTTTAAACCTGCCACCCTGCTCTTAGCCCCTGTCTCTCACAGTCTGGAAGGGGAAAGAAAAGCAGCCCGCTTTTCCGGCACCGTTCTCCAGGGCAACAGAAGAGAAAAGCCCCAGTTTCTGGTGGCCTTCCCTCTTGGCATCATGCAACCGAGGAGCTTCATGGTGTCTTGTTTTTTGATGGTGGAGAGACGAAGAATGCTTTTGGGAGCCCTGGGAGAATGCCAGGTCTGTTTGGATGTTTCTGACCTTTCTCTTTACTTTGCTTTCCTGCGTTGCTGAAGGAGAAGAAGCAGCCTTGTCTACTTTTATTAAAGTAGGTTATGTGTTTCTATGTTCTTAAACTTATCCCAGTCGAGATGCATATCAAGATTCTCAAGTTTTTGATGCCTTTGTCATAGAAGTTCCCCTCCGCCTTTTTCAGCCAGTTCGGCACTTTGATTTTCACCTCGTTGTCGTCGGAAAAGTGTTTTCCACCCAGGTGTTCCTTCAGTTTAGTGAACAGATGATAGTCACTGGGTGCAAGATCAGAGATGTAAGAAGGGTGACTTAAAACATCCCAACGAAAGGAAGTCAACAACTGTTGTGTTGCATGAGCGATGTGTGGACGCACATTGTCCTGAAGGAGGCAGGCTCCCGCCATCAGCATCCCATGACGTTTGTTTTGGATGTCTCTGCGAACTTTCTTCATGGTCTCACAATATAGTCCATACCCATTTTTCATATGGTGTCTTGACATTACGTCCTCTCCATAAACTGAAACAATGTTGTGACGAATCGCAGCGGTGTTCATGCCTTTTGCATTTAGGTGGCGTATTACAGTGCAAACTTTGCACTTGGAGGAAAACAGAATGAGGATGCTCATCTCTAACCTTCACAACGCCAATCAATGAGCTACCGACGACTGGCACTGCTCATTCGCTTCCGCTGGTTTCCCACTACACAGCAGTGATACCAACTTCCTCTGCGAAAATTCTTTGTGCGAGCTACATGCCTTGTAACCTTACTTTCTGGATAACTCTCGTACAGTGCAAACTTCGCACTTGGAGGGAAACGGAAAGAGGACACTCATCTCTAATCTTCACCACAGTGCCAGTCGATGAGCTACTGACAACTGGCACTGCTCGTTCACATCTGCTTGCTTCCCACTACACAGCATTTCCCCTTGTAACCTTACTTTCCAGATAACCCTCATACAGCACGAACTTGGCGCTTGGAGGGAAACGGAATGAGGGCGCTCCTCTCTAACCTTCAGCACAGTGCCAGTCGATGAGCTACTGACAACTGGCACTGCTCGTTCACTTCCGCTGGCTTCCCACTATACAGCATTTCCCCTTGTAACCTTACTTTCCAGATAACCCTCATACAGCACGAACTTGGCACTTGGAGGGAAACGAAAAGAGGACACTCATCTCTAACCTTCAGCACAGCGCCAGTTGATGAGCTACTGACAACTAGCGCTGCTCGTTCACTTCCGCTGGCTTCCCATTACACAGTATTTCCCCTTGTAACCTTACTTTCCAGATAACCCTTGTACAGCACGAACTTGGCGCTTGGAGAGAAACGGAATGAGGACACTCCTCTCTAACCTTCACCACAGTGCCAGTCGATGAGCTACTGACAACTGGCACTGCTCATTCACTTCCACTGGCTTCCCACTACACAACAGTGATACTAACTTCCCCTGCGATTTTTTTTTGCGCAAACTATGTGCCTTGTAACTTTACTTTCCAGATAACTCGTACAGTGCAAACTTCGCACTTGGAGGGAAACGGAAAGAGGACACTCATCTCTAACCTTCACCACCGCGCCAGTCAATGAGCTACTGACAACTGGCACTGTTCGTTCACTTCTGCTGGCTTCCCACTACATAGCAGTGATACCTGCTTTCCCTGTGAAAATTCCCTGCGAGAGCTACGTGCCTTGTAACCTTACTTTCTGGATGTTGGTTGTACCATCGCAGTCCAGGATGCATCCCCTGTGATGGGAGGTTATGGGGAACGCTCTTTTTGCCGGTTGCTGCCCACGCATTACCCGTTTGATCTCTAAGGAGCACGGTGGAGATTCATTGGATGAGAGGTCACCCCTTTTGCTGACCCGTCCTGTTGTGGCTCAGTGGAGAGATCCCAAAATCCAAGACAAAATGGAAATCCCCGAAGGATGCGAGCCCTCCGCAATGTGCTCACATGCTGAATTTGGCTGTTCGTCGTGCAAATACTCACACAGTAGAGGAAAATCAGATAGACACTTAATGGAAAAGAATCAGAGTCAACTGTCCAGCGTCGTTTCTGATAGCTGTCAGATCTTGGCCAACGTTGGACCCCCGCCAAAGTTGTATGTTCTGGAATCGCTTCTCGTGGGAGACTCTACAAAGTGTTCTTACTCGGATTGCGAGGTACCCAAGGATCCGAGCTTTCAAGGAAAAGAGGACAGAGAGACAAGCAGTAAAGCAGAGGTTAGAAGTCATGGGATGTCCGCTCTGAGTTTGCCCCATGGCCAAGAAAGCACAATAGTAGAAGAGATGGTGTGCCGTGAACCCATTGCCATGGATCCTGCGGTAGTGGCATGCAGTAGCCACGTTGGCTCTGTCTTTCAGCCCGATTCCATAGGCAGGAGCATGATCTTGGACAGGTGCCGGAGTTCACCTGGAAAGAAGATCCGGATTGTTCCAGAGGCCGCTTCATGTCCCATCAAAGAAGGCATGGAGAGAGGTGAAGGAGCTTGTCTTACAATTGGCACAGGTGGGCAAAGTCAACATTGAAAATGGAGGAGGAGAAAGAAAGGATGTCTCCACTTCTCGCTCTCCCTTTTTCATTAGGTTCCTTTCTTTTCTTGTTTGAAATGAAACATGGCAATATCACAGAACCATCCGTTGTTTGGCCAAAAGTGTGCCACAGCAACCTTGGATGAACTCAGCAGCATCATCATTGGTGTTGGTGGTAATCGCATCAATATTTAAATATTCCAGGCTGTCATTTCATGTCCTTCATGTAGGAATGTAGATTTTGAAAACTAAAAAGTGATTTTTTAATGGGCTACTTCAGGTAGGAAATGGGACTCTTTGGAAGAATTGAAATGTATGTACCGTATATCCTCGAGTATAAGCCAAGACACCTAATTTTATCACAAAAAAACTGGGAAAACGTATTGATTCGAGTATAAGCCGAGGGTGGGAAATGCAGCAGCTACTGGTAAATTTCAAAATAAAAATAGATACCAATAAAATTACATTAATTGAGGCACTGTAGGTTAAATGTTTTTGAATATTTATATAAAACTGTAATTTAAGATAAGATTGTCCAATTCAGATTAAACCATTATTCTAACCTTCAATGTAGATGTGCTTTTGTATCCTTCCACTAACAATAAAGAGAGTAAAACAATAAATGTAAGAAAAATAATAGAGTAAAATAATAAATGTAATAATAACAATAATAAATAAGAGTAAGATAATAAATGTCATAATAATAATAGGCCCCCTGTGGCGCAGGGGGTTAAACTGCTCAACTGTTGAACTTGCTGACCAAAAGGTTGGTGAATCGAATCTGGGGAGCAGGATGAGCTCCCACTGTTAGCCCCTGCTTCTGCCAACCTAGCAGTTTGAAAATATGCAAATGTGAGTAGATCAATAGGTACCGCTTTGGCGGGAAGGTAACGGCACTCTTCGGTGGCAAGGTAACGGCACTCCATGCACTCATGCTGGCCACATGACCTTGGAGATGTCTGTGGACAACGCCAGCTGTTGTCCGTAGATGAGCACCAACCCCCAGAGGCAGACACGACTGACTTAATGTCAAAGGGAAACCTTTACTTTTACTTATACACATAATAGAGTAAAATAATAAATGTAACAATAACAATAAGAGTAAAATAATAAATGTAATAATAACAATAAATAGAGTAAAATAATAAACGCAATAATAATAATAAGTAGAGTAAAATAATGAATGTAAAAATAACAATAATAGAGTAAAATAATAAATCTAATAATAATAAATAGAGAAAAATAATAAATGTAATAATAATAATAAATAGAGAAAAATAATAAATAAAATAAAAATAGAGTAAAGTAAATGTAATAAAAATAATAAATAGAGAAAAATAATAAATATAATAATAATACATAGAGTAAAATAATAAATAATAATAATAATAATAGAGTAAAATATTGTAAATGCAATAAAATAATAAATTTTATAAAATAATAAATGTAAGTATACGCCATGGGGGGCTTTTTCAGCCTTTAAGAAAGAGCTGAAAAACCCGGATTATACCCGAGTATATATGGTATATACCTATTTACTTGTCAAGCCCAAACTTATGCATAGACAATGCTTGTTTCAAATTCTATAATCTATTTTACTCATTGCAGCTTGAAGGCTGCTTGGACTTGAAGGGGAATATTACTCATATAGCCTTTCCAACTATTGATATCAGTCCTACCCAGTAGTCCTTCAGTGGCACAGATTCAGATTTTTCTTTTGAAATCAGATGTACATTACATTTCGATAAGATCTTAATGGATTTTTCACAGAACTCCAACAAGGCTTTTGCAGAACACAGTTTGGGATGCACTAACATCAAAGCTGTTTAATACACTCCTAGAATTAGGCCAGGAATGCCAATAACAACAACAATACCACGTGATTCTAGTCTGTCTGTTCTCCCTGCACCCGATCTTTATATCTGTGGGTAGAGTGCGCACTCTCTTGCACATGGAAGTGTCCAAAGTCCAATCCCCAAAGTTTCTTGTTGGACAGATTGGGGGAAGACAGAAGGCAAGAAACAACAGTGGGATCAACAGTATCCCTTGGGATTCAAATCAGAGTTTGGAAAAGTTATTTGGGGGCCATGACATCTATGTTTTCTCCTAGTGATCACCCCAAAATATAACTGTCAAGTTTTGAGTTAAGTCATTCTGTGTTTCCTAGTTCTTTACATTGGAGCACAAGATGTGAAACATTGAGAGTTAGAATACCATATATACTCGAATATAAACTGGGTTTTCAGCCCTTTTTTAGGCAGAAAAAGCACCCCTTGGCTTATACTCGTGCCAAAGTTATTTATTATTTTACTTTATTATTTTTATTTTTATTACATTTATTATTTTACTCTATTTATTATTAGTATTATTATTATTACATTGGTTGTTATTATTACATGTATTATTTTACTCTATTATTATTACATGTATTTTACTCTTTATTATCATTACATTGATTATTTTGTTTATTGTTACATTTATTATTTTTCTCTATATTATGGTTATTGTTACATTTATTATTTTACTTTATTGTTATTACATTGATTATTTTACTGTTATTATTATTACATTCATTATTTTACTCCATTATTATTACATTCATTGTTATTACATTGATTATTTTACTCTATTAGTTTTTTTATTATGTTTATCATTTTACTCTATTATTATTACATTCATTATTTTACTCTATTATTATTACATACATTGTTATTACATTTATTATTTTTACTCTATTAGTATTTTTATTATGTTTATTATTTTACTCTATTTATTATTAGTATTATTATTACATTGATTGTTATTATTACATTGATTATTTTGTCTATTATTATTACATTTATTATTTTACTCTATTGTAGCTATTATTACATTTATTTTTGCATTCATTGTTATTACATTTATTATTTTACTCTATTTATTATGTTTATTGTTACATTTAATATTTTATTCTATTATTGTTATTATTGTATTTATTATTTTACTCTATTATTTTTATTACGTTTATTATTTCACTCTATTACTGTTATTATCACATTTATTATTTTACTCTATTATTATTTTTATTACGTTTATTATTTTACTCTATTTATTATTAGTATTATTACATTCATTGTTATTATTACATTTATTATTTTACTCTATTAGTATTTTATTAAGTTTATTATTTTACTCTATTACTGTTATTATTACATTTATTATTTTACTCTATTATTATTTTTATTACATTTCTTATTTTTACTCTATTAGTATTTTTATTTTTATTATGTTTATTACATTTAATATTTTATTCTATTATTGATACTATATATATTATTTTCATTATGTTTATTATTTTACTCTATTACTGTTATTATTTCATTTATTATTTCATTTATTATTGCTATTACATTTATTATTTTACTCTATTATTATTGGAAAGATACGTAAGCTCTTTATAGCAATTCAACAAGTGGGAACCAAATCAATGTATTGGTAAAGCAAGCAGGATAAATTTATTGGTGTACCATTTTGATTGGGGAGAAAACGTGATAATAAACATTGCTGGGGAGTGAATTAGAAAGCATCTCTGCGAATCTCGGGCTCTGCCAGTGCAACCGGATCGAGCAGCCAGGCGTTCGGGGATTTGGGGGGATTTGTAGTCCCTAAAAGTAACTTTCCCAGGCTCTGCTGGTTGAACTGCAGGCACGACTTGGGAGCGGCCTTGCTCTTCTCGTACAGGTTCGCGGCGTTTGTGCAATCCACCGTACTGGATAGAGCCTCAGGGTACCCTGACTACACCCATTTTGCAGTGGTTTTCACTAGAGAGGGCTCTCCAGACCTAAAATAAATGTATATAAATGACAATATTATATACATACATGCATACACCCTCTTTTAGTTAGACCTCTTTCACCTTTAGACGCTTCTTTTCTATCCCAGGATGTACCAACCCGTCTTCTTTCCTTGGCAAAATAGGGAAAGGGCGTTGTCTGTTGGGCCGAAACGGGACGGGAACACACCTATTTCTAGTAAACCCCAACTTGGAGAGGGAAAATTGGAATTTGTGTGGGCTGGGAGCTAGATTAACCGTTCCTTTCCTCCATGTGTCGAGCCTTAGAGAGTGACTACAACTCCCCCAAATCCTATGTTGTTGTCGTCATCGTCGTCCCGTGTCCATCCCCTCCACTTGTATGGACAGGGATTCCCCATTGTATGTAAATTACCTTCAAGCGATGTGTATCAGGAGTATATGTCATATTCCGTGCCCAAATTTGGCTCTCCTCTGTGTCACAATGTATCTGCAAGTCCACAGTGTTTTCTGGATGTAGGTGAACTACAACTCCCAAACTCAACATCAATGCCCACCAAACCCTTCCATTGTTTTCTGTTGGTCATGGGAGTCCTGTGTGCCAAGTTTGGTTCAATTCCATCGTTGGTGGAGTTCAGAATGCTCTGTGATTGTAGGTGAACTATACATCCCAGCAACCTCAACTCCCAAATGTCAAGATTCTATTTTTCCCAAACTCCACCAGTGTTCACATTTGGGCATATTGAGTATTTGTGTAGAGTTTGGTCCAGATCCATCATTGTTTGAGTCCACAGTGCTCTCTGGATGTAGGTGAACTACAACTCCCAAACTCAGAGGTCAATGCCCACCAAACCCTTCTAGTGTTTTCTGTTGGTCATGGGAGTCCTGTGTGCCAAGTTTGATTCAATTCCATCATTGGTTGAGTTCAGAATGCTCTTTGATTGTAGGTGAACTATAAATCCCAGCAACTACAACTCCCAAATGACAAAATCAATTTTTTTGAGTGAAGGACATACATTGGGTTGTTAGGTGTCTTGTGTCCAAATTTGGTGCCAATTCGTCCAGTGGTTTTTGAGTTCTGTTAATCCCACAAACGAACATTACATTTTTATTTATATAGATCGGTAATGCATGGTTCTAAAGTACTTACAAAACTAGAGGGTGCTGGTGCTTCTAAAGTGTTGCTAAAGTTCTGGTGGCGAAAATTTCAGAACTCTAACAAAACTTTCAAATTTTCATTATTATCTCGTAATTGGCAATTTTTAGGACAGAACCAATTAGGAACTGCCATTTATAATGAAAAAAGTTTTGTCAGGTGGTGCAATACCAGCTAGCCTGCCACTTTTGGACTCTCGCTTGCTGAGGTGTTCTTGCGAGTATCTCTGTAGATCTTAGCTGTTTCTAAATTTAAGGCGTTGGCATGCTGGCTGATAACCAAGCAGAGGATTGGCCGAAGATGTCAATGCCTTGGTCCTTTCATTGGTGGCTGCTACTTCCCAGTGGATACCAGATAAACAGCATAATTTCTCCAGTGGTGTAGGGCATAGACATCCTGTGATAATGCGGCATGTCTCATTAAGAGCCACATCCACTGTTTTAATGTGGTGAGATGTATTCCACACTGGGCATGCATAGTTAGCAGCAGAGTATCAAAACTCAAGGGTAGATATCTTAGCTGTGTCTGGTTGTGATCCCCAGGTTGTGCCAGTCAGCATTGAGTTGCATCTATGCTGACGATCGTGCCATCACCACCCAAGCAGGGAGGTTTGAAATGGTCAAACGGAAGCTCTCCGAAACTTTAGTTGCTCTTACTGCCTATTACACAGAAAAACAGCTGATTCTTCTTATTTCCAGAGGATCGCTCGTCTAGCATCGCCTTGATGAACGGCGATGGCTTGCACGAGAACCACAAGGAGGAGGCCAAGCAGAATGGCCACGAAGAGCCGGATCACACAGACGACGGGAACGACCAAGAGGTCATTGTCATCCAAGATACTGGCTTCACGGTCAAGGTCCACGCGCCAGCGGTGGAACCATTTCCCTTGCAGGTGAGTGCCATTGCTAGGCCTCAAGGCTCCTTCTCCCAGATGGTTGCCATCTTGCATTCTGGAGGAACTTTGGAGGGAGTCGGGAACAGTTTTGCTCCTCGGTGCCAACACCATGCTTTCATAGAATAATAGAGTTAGAAGGGACCATATGGGGCATCTTGTCCAACCCTCAGCCATGCAGGAAAAGCACAATCAAAGCACCCCTGACAGATGGCCATCCAGCCAGACTCCAAAAAAGGCACCTCCACCACACTCAGAGGCAGTGAGTTCCACTGTTGAACAGTTCTTATGGTCAGGAAGTGGAATATTTTATATTTTTATGGATTGCATAGGTACATAAACATGGATTACAAAATGGAGGAGGATTGCAACATGAGGGATGGTCAAAGTTTGAGGGGCACACACTTCAGCAAACATTCAATGCCACTAAACAGTCAGGACAGACAACAGATAGAGGTATATGCCGGCATTTTTCCCATCTTTGGCATCCTGGAGGTTGTTTACGATTCCGGCCAAAAGAGGGTGCTGTTGCTCCATCCTCTGTGACGAAGAGCCCTTGATCGCAGACTTCCTCCTTCCTTTGATCGCCGGCATTTTCTGGTATTTCCTTTTTATGGTGCCTTAAAATACTTCCCTGCTTAAGCAGTGCCTAATTTCTCTACTCGAACTACTTAGGTGGACAGTGAATTGGGCTGAAGGTCGGGTGCTCACCCCGACCCGGGCTTCGAACTAGCAGCCTTTCAAATGCCTCAATGATTCTCTGTAATGGGCATTGTAAATATGGAGTGACTCCTTGACCTGACCATCTCGTATGTGGAAACCTTCAAAACGCCAGTGTGTCGAGACAACATTAAGCCCCGCCATATTCCATGCTGACACGGAACATGGCGTCCTGTCATATGATGCACTTTCAGACAAGTGTGGACAACTTGTGGATCTCCATACAATGTTGGGTGGGAACTACAGCTCCCATCCAACTCAACTATCAGAGTCTAGCAACAATAGCCTTTGTTTAGTGGAACTGTTGTAGCCAGTATTACTAATGGAAAATGGAGTCCAACAATGTCTGGAGGACCTCTCATTTCCCAGCTGTACTCTTAAGTTTGCAGGCTGCTTTATAGTAGTAGCAATAATGGTAATAATAATAATAATAATAATAATAGCAACGGGACTTTGAAACAGCTTGCTGGGAGTCAGCTGCATTAAGATCACTACTGACCGAAACATCATGAGTTTGAAGCCAGCCCAGGTCAGAGTGAGCTTCCAACCAATTTGTGTAGCTTGCTGACGACCTTTGCAGCCCGAAAGACAGTTGCATCTGTCAAGTAGGAAATTTAGGTACCCCTTATGTGGGGAGGCTAATTGAACTAATTTATGAGACCACAAAAGTCTCCAGCAAGCATGCAAAAAATGAGGAAGTACCTCATTAGTGTCACAAATGGACGGTAAAGCGACAGCTCCCCTGGTAGCCAGAATACCCTCATTTATTTATTGATTTATTTATTTACGACATTTATATGCCGCCCTTCTCACCCTGAAGGGGACTCAGAGCGGCTTACAAGGTATATATTACATACAATATATTGTATCATTAGCATAGTACAATATCAGCATTAAACATTGCTATATTTCACCATACCACTATATTGTAATATTGAAAAGATGGAAAGTTAAATAATCTCTGAGTGTCTGCCTATATATGTTCTGTGTCTATGGCATTGAATGTTTGCCATGTATATATACATTGTAATCCACCCTGAGTCCCCTGCGGGGTGAGCAGGGTGGAATATAAATACTGTAAATTAATAATATTAATAATAATAAGGGCCCCCTGATGCGCAGCAGGTTAAACTGCTGAGCTGCTTAACGTGTTGATGAAAGGCTGGCTGTTCGCATCTGGGGAGCAGGGTGAGCTACCGCTGATGGGCCCAGCTCCTGCCTACCTAACAGTTTGAAAACATTCAAATGTAAGAAGATCAATAGGTACCAATTCTGCGGGACGGTAACGGCGCTCCATGCAGTGATGCAGGCCATATGACTTTGGAGGTGTCTACGGATAGCACTGGCTCTTGGGCTTAGAAATGGAGATAAACACCACCGCCCAAAGTCAAATACGACTAGACTTAATGTCAAGGGAAAACCTTTACCTAATAATAATAATGTTATTTCTGACCCTCCTTTTCTCATGTCTCGAGGCAGGTTATCTCATAGCTGAAAACACATTATCATAGGGACCACGGTAGATGGCAGGTTAAACTTCCAGCTGTCGATAATCTTGCCAAGCAGAAGGTTGATAGTTCATGGGTGCAGTGAGCTCCCAGTGTTAGCTCTAGCTCCTGCCTACCTAGCAGTTTCAACACAATAATGTGAGTAGATTAATAGGTGCCACTTTGGAGGGGAGGTAAACAGCGGCCATGCAGACATGCCGGCAATTCAATCAGGAAGATTTCCATGGACAACAGGCATGGAAAATAGAACAAGAGCACCTCCCCATGGCTGGAGTCAAGCACGGCCTCCAAATGCTGGAGATGGGAAGGGGGAAGCCTTTGCCTATGTCTATGTACTGCCTGTCCTTGGTGTTAATTGTATAGCGGCAATGAATGTTTGGCATATATGTATTCTGTAATCCACTCTGAGTCCCCTAGACTCAGAGCGGAATATACATAAAGTATAATAATAATAATAATAATAATAATAATGATGATGATGATAAAACTTTATTTATATACCAATCTATCTCCCCGAGGGGACTCAGAGCGGTTCCCAGGTAATATCACAAAACATACCAAGTAAAAACAACATAACCATAAGATTAACAAAACAAAATATAAGCATAAAAAATTGTCGCCATAAAACACATATATTAAAAGTAATCCTGCTTGTATATTATTATAGAGCGGAATATAGGGAATATAGAGCAGAATATCAATAAAGTATATTATTATTATTATTATTATTAACATGTAAAAATAGAGAGGATTTTTAAAAGGGGAATCTAGCCATGGATTCTAGCCATAGACTGAAAGCTCGCTGATTCGAATCCAGGGAGCGGGGTGAGCTCCCCCTGTTAGGTCCAGCTTCTGCCAACCTAGCAGTTCGAAAACATGCAAATGTGAGTAGATCAATAGGTACCGCTTCTGCAGAAGATAACAGCACTTCATGCAGTCATGCTGGCCATGTAACCTTGGAGGTGTCTATGGACAACACCGGCTCTTTGGCTTAGAAGTTGAGATGAGCGACAACCCCCCCCCCCCTTCCAGACACAACTAAATGTCAGGGGAAAACGTTACCTTTACCTTAGCCATCGGACATAGAATTACAGCCATAACTTCTCTTTATTATGGAGAACCCTTGAAGAAACTTCCGTTTTTTTGGCAATTGCTTTGTACAATGCAAGCACAGATTTCCATCTAGACAGAGCTGGGATTTGAATTTTTAAAAAGGGCCCTGTTTCTTTCGTTGCCAGATTATTTGCCTGATACCAGTTCTGACGCTTGCATAATTTTTCTGTTGGGTGCTCAGTGTGTTGCAAGAAAAGACCAAAGTTTAGAGGAGCAAAAGGGCAAGGAATTCTCTCTGGAGGAAGAGCTGCTCAAACACTCAAGTTTTTAAACTACCGTATATACTCAGGTACAAGTCAAGGTACCTAATTTTACCATTAAAAAATGGGAAAACTTATTGACTCGAATATAAACCGAGGGTGGGAAATGCAGCAGCTATGGGTAAATTTCAAAATAAAAATAGATACCAATACAGTTACATTAATTGAGGCATGAGTAGGTGACATGTTTTTGAATATTTACATAAAACTGTAATTTAAGACTGTCGAACTCTGATTAAACCATTATTCTTCAATGTAAATGTGATTACGTAATAGAGTAAAATAATACATGTAATAACAGTAATAATAGTGCAAAATAATGACAATGCAATAATAACAGTAATAATAGAGCAACATAATTAATGAAATAGTAACAATAATAAATAAAGTAAAATAATGAATATAGTGGTCTATAAGGTTTGTATTCCCCTAATCAGGTGCCCCATCCCACAATCATCTACATTTGAGTGTGCCGGCTTCAGGTTAGGTGACCGGGACAGGATAGGGATTCTGTTAGTGTACCGACCACCCCGCTGCACGACAGTCTCCCTACCTGAGCTAGCAGGAGTGGTCTCGGACATGGCGTTGAGCTCCCAGCGGCTTATAGTCCTGGGGGATTTCAATGTCCATGCCGAGACTGCTCTGTCAGGTGCAGCTCAGGACTTTATGGCCACCATGACAACCATGGGCCTGTCCCAACTAGTATCTGGTCCCACCCATACCGCCGGACACACACTGGATTTGGTCTTTTCGCAGGGATGGGGTGATAGTATCGGGGTGGAGGAGCTAACCATCGCTCCTTTGTCATGGACCGATCACTACCTGATTAGGTTTAGACTGACTGCTCCTCCCAACCTCTGCAGGGGTGGTGGACCCATTAGAATGGTCCGCCCCAGGAGACTTATGGATCCAAATGGTTTCCTGATGGCTCTTGGGGATTTCCCACCTCCTTGACTGGCGACCCTGTCGATGCCTTGGTCTCTCACTGGAACACCGAGATGACTAGGGCAATCGACACAATCGCTCCAGAACGCCCCCTCTCGAGTAACCGAGCTAACCCGGCTTCTTGGTTTACTGAGGAGCTGGCAGCAATGAAGCGAAAGAAGAGGTGGCTAGAGCGCGTGTGGCGCAGAAACCCGACTAAATCAACCCAAACACATCTGAATGCCTTTTTAAGGTCCTACGGTGTGGCAATAGAGGCAGCACAAAAAACATCTTTCGCTGCCAATATTGCATCTGCGAAGAATCGTCCAGCTGAGCTCTTTCGAGTTGTCAGGGGTCTGTTAAATCCGCCGAAAAGCGAGATCCCTGACAGCTCTGGAGCTCGCTGTGAAGCGTTTGCTCGATTTTTTGCAGATAAAATTGGGCGGATTCGGTCGGGTTTCGACACCACTTTACC